ATTATTAGTGTGACATCATAGCTTTGAAAGCAACACAGTCAAGGGAACTACACGTTCCCCAGTCCAGCAACTACGACTTCTCAAGTTTAGAGTCAAATTATTATGTCACAAAGCAATCAAAAGCAAATCCCCATCACCACCAGAAATACTGAGCTTAGATCTCTAAGGACCCGATTCAAAAATTACAGATTACACGGGTTGGATCTGCAGGGCTGGCACTATGTAACAGTGAGGCATGAGTTGCACGGGCCTGCAACTGTCCGATCCTGGAAAGAAAATGCCTACGTGAAAACTTTATTCTACCAAACTTTGTCATGACTCAAGCCACCTGCACTTCAAAATGCCCGTTTTGCTGTTTCTGCAGCTCTTGAAACATTTTTATAATGAAAATTATCACAGTTTTTTTTGCCATAGATGAACCATTAATTACTTCCAAAGAGAGATTTCTGGGCTTCCCTTCAAAACAGATTTTTTTGTGAAAACCCACAGGTGACTTACTCAGATCACTGTGCTTTGGATAGGGGGATTTATGCACTGTATTCTCTGCTCTGATCAAGGACAGCTCTGAATTCAGAATTGCAACAATACTTTTTATATGCATATAAATCCCCATAATACATAAATACAGAAGCTAAGCAAAACGTACTGGGGCTGAAGTCTTTCTGTAAATTTCTACCACTATGGACCAGTAAGTTATTAGGCCTTAAAATCAACGGCCAGTATTGGAGGGTGGGGGTACAGATGGAAGCCATGGTATTGAGGAAAGTTTTAACTTTCCTCCCATCCCATTTACATTCTCCTTCCCCATCAAAAACAGTCCAGGCTGCTTAGGGAAACAGGTTGTGCTTGTCCAGGAAAGAGATTTTCCACTGGCAAAACTGTACTGGAGGAAGGAAGGAAGAATCCATTATTCCATGGTGCCCTGGGCCTGCTTCATATCAAGCCCTGCTGAGGAACCCATAATGATTCCTAAATGGGTCCTAACCCTGTAGCCCCTTCCTATCATTCTGGCTATATGAGTGTTGTGTGTGGGGGGGTGTCACTCACTGGGGAGGGAACGTCACTCTGCACATGCTCAAAAGTACCTTTCCTCAATATTACACCAATGTTTTGCAGTCCTAAATGGAAGGCAGTCTCTTAGACTAAGGCATCATTATTAAGCAAGGGAAGAATCCAACAAACTCTACAATCCAGACGCTTTCTGTGATGGCTGAGCTTAGAAAAATGCTTGAAATTCCCTGCAGTGCTATGAACAGTTTGGGGAGGGGGTGGGAAGACCTCACCACAATAAACCGAGTGTTTAAATCACGCAGGCAGCTAACCTAAAGCAGAGGGTGCAAATTAATTCTGCCAGGTGATCATTAAAAGTTGGCTGCCTTCCGAGGCCTCCGAAAAGGGAGCAGGGAAGGATTACCGACTCCTAATCGCTTTTGCTCCTTCGTCGCATGTCTGTACATCTGGTATATGTGAGCGCCAGTCCAAACAAACAGAAGGCACGTGGTACAGTCCTCCATGAAACTATACCACCTCAAAAAGCGCATGGAGGATTTTGCTCATATGAAAGAATCCCCCGTGTCAGAGCATCTAAGCGCATCAAAAGCTTACGCGTCAGACAAGCCTCGCCCTCCTCTCTAACGCGTTAGCCTTCCATCCAAAAGGAACGTTTGGTGGGGGAGTGCTTGAAAGACTAGAGGCTCTCCATAAGGGGGCTGCCAGGAAGACTATGCCACACGCCCCTTCTGAGTGTTTCAATTTGCTTTCAAACAATGACCACAGAAGTCTTGTACTTACCTAAATGTGTACAACATTTCCTTAAAATGTTGCTTTAAGAAAGAATTTTATTCTCCTCCTCTAGGGCGAGGTTCCCAAACTTATGTTTGTCTTGCAATGTGAGCGAGGCACTTGCAGGGGAGAGTCAGCTAGGGAAGGGGAGGGGGGGCTGAACCCACTTCATGCCCACGGGTTCTCCCCCGCAAAGGGCAAACCACCAACCACCCCCCCTTTTGTTCCCAGCTAGACTCCACGACCAGGAATGTGCCCAGCTTGGGTGTGGTGAAGACAGAATGAAATGGTGCTAGAAAGACATACACAGATGAGAAGCAGGGATTCAACAGAGTGAGGTACTCCTATCCCATTCACCGATTCTATGCTCCAGCTGCGCCACCCACTCACATTCACACTGCCTCAACAAACTTAAGTTGGGGCCAGGCATTTTACATACAAATGTAAAGCATACACTTAAGAACATAAGAGACGCCAATGTTGGATCAGGCCAAAGGCCCATCCAGTCCAACAGTCTATATCACACAGTGGCCATAAATACCAGTGCCATCAGGAGGTCCACCAGTGGGGTCAGGACATTAGAAGCCCTCCCACTGTTGACCCCCCCCCCCAAGCACCTAGAAGACAGAGCATCACTTGCCCCAGAGCCCCTATCTATACCTTGTGGCTAATAGCCACTGAGGGACCTCTGCTCCATATGCTTATCTAATTCCCTTTTGAAGCCGTCCATGCTTGTACCTAAAACGTTTTACAAAAAAACTCTAAAAATATGACCTGTGCATGCCCAGGGGTCTCTGCTGTGATGTGCATTCAGTGAACAATAGGCATGTCAGTCACTGTGTAATATGTTAAACGACCCTTTTCAACCAAATGAATTTAAACTGCAAAGAGCAGCCCTCCAAAAAAAAAAAAATGGTAAGAAATGACTTTGCACCAATTCACATGCTCATGTTCATGTTTCTGCAGTGATCAGCACTGGAGGACTCCTGGCTGAATGTGCGATTTGTGCGAATTGTCAGCCCTGAAAGCTACTGCATTTGAACGGACTTTGGAAGATACACAAATTCAGTCTGGATGGTCTGTTCACACAAGAAAGCTATTATTAAGTGCAGACTTAATATGTGTGAAACCTACACGCATTCCACCCAGTTTGTGACAGTTTGCAGCCTTTGTTTCTGAACTAGGAAGAAAGCACAGTTTTACAGAGTGCAGTTTCACACCATTCTTCTCTTCTGCCCCCCAAAGAATTTATTTTGTCTTCTTATCTGATGGTTTCTGACAATAGTCTTTCATGTTCCAACACAACTGGTCATCCCAGGACAGGAGAAAGGAGTGGTTTCCTGCTCTTGAAGAGCCACTTCTGTTTTTCACATGAGCATGATGAGCAAAAATAAACACCAAAGAGAATGAATTATATTTTCTCTGATTTGTAGTGCAATCCGAGGAGTTTTATACCATCCTAAGCACATTAAAGTCAACGGACTTAGAGAGCTGTAACTCTGCTTAGGACTATACAGTTAGAATTGCCAGATGTCCTACAGTCTACACGATCTCTCTAATTCCAAAGGGAAAGATTTCAAGAAAACATAACCATTGTGGACAATACATTCATTATCCTTTGGAGTCTGTGGAGTTATTGATTTAACGTTAAAAAAATTCTAGGCTGCTTCTCTGTTATATTTGGTTGAATCATTTCTTAGTAGAACATCATCCCTCATTTTCAGTGTAATGCTCCTAACTCACTCATATATTTTTTAAAGCAATCACGTGAACACCTCCAAGTAAACAATGTCAGGTGGGGACTACAGCATTTCCTTGGTGTATCTATAAACAGGTTTGTACTCCGTGAGGTCTTGTTTGCAGAAATGCTTCCAGAAAGGTTCTGCAGGTGGCTAATTCTCAAAGAGTAATTCCATGTGAAGATGCTCAGGTGAGAGCTTTTAAAAAGTCTGGCTGAAACTAGTTTTCTCTGCAGTCACATATTCCCAAAGGTGTATTTGCTAGATAGCACAAATGTTGGGTCATAAGAGGTTTCAGCACGTGGGAGGTTTACTTAACCCCTTAAATGTCCAACAATTCTCCCCCACCTCAGTTGGCCTCAGTTCTGGTTACAAAAGCTGGATGCAAAATAAATAAATAAATAAAAACTGCCCAAGAATGGAGGCATTTGCAAGGGAAACTCTACATATGGAAGGGGGTGCTTTGCCCTTAGCCTATCTGCTAATGTTCCCCTGCAGATTCCTTTCCCTCCCACACAACATTATTTTACAAGTAAAACAGGTTTGCGAATACCATGTTTCCACTGAAAATGTGTAAGGAATCACCCTCAAACCCATTAGCCAAGAAGGTCCCATCCAAAATGCTGTTGGATTTTAAAGTCCAGACTGGTGACCTTCTCTCTAATCAACCGTAGTAACAATGTGGCCCTGATCCTAATGGTAACTACTACAATGAACTCTTGCTGACTCATGCACAATCAAGCACTGCTTCACATTACAAAATCCTTATTTGGAAGGCACAGATTTATCTTTTCATTTTGTTTTTAGCTACTTTCATGATGAAGAGCTTATTATTCAAAACAAATAGGTTACTCTAGAATTTCATCCATTGGTCCTGAAGCGCACCTGTGTTTGTTACTAGCACGAGTGTATTGACTTCCTCTGTGTGGAATAAATTCTTGAAACAGAAAACAATCATTGGGATTTGTAAAATTCTAGGAAGGTCCAAGAGAAAAAAGACAAAGACTGTGTGCTCTTAATCACAACTTAGGTCCAGATCATACATTACTGACAGTGATGTGGGAGTCACTTTTCATACCACTGAGGCAATATTTATATCCAGGGACACCATGTGGGCAGAGCTATTGACACAACTCCTTACCACAGAAACACTAGCTGGCCTCTTGATTTGGAATGGTGACATTTTGAAAGGTGATTGCTCTCACAATCCCTGGACCCAATGATACCTGAACAGCAGGAAAGAAGTCGCTAGCAAATGGGTTCCCTCATTCCTACTTAGTAACAGGGGGGGAAAGTTCCAGCTTAGCCAACTGGACTTCCTCCAGAATGTTCAAGGGTCAGGATGTACAGGAGCGCCCCCTCACATGGACTGCTGGCTGTGTGTGTGACTCACTCCTATGGGGCACCCAAGCGAAGGATACTTCCGTTTGCTTGATTATAACTCAGATGCTGCTAAGGATACTGGAATGGCAGAATTACCTGGCCTGACTGGAGTCTGCATGCAGTTTTGAGAGACCATGGTCGAGTGAACCGACGTGGATGCTCTGCTGCTGAGGTCCATGACAGAAGGTGCTGCTGAGGTAGCTTGCTGGATAGCTGGTTGGTGTGGGCTGTGGTCATGCTGAGCAGGGCTGGGTGGAATGCCATTTTCCGAGAGAAATTCTTCCAGGTCCATGTATTCCAACTGGAAAGTGTCACCATCGTACGGAAGTGTTTTGTCCCATAATGTAGGACCCAAGAACGCTGACTGTGGCACAGTGGCATTGCTGTTGTCATCGTCCAGCTTTTTTTCTTTGTCTTTTTCTTTACAAAATGCTACAAAACACAGACAGAAAGAAAGGAAGAGGGGGTCAATACGATCCCAAAGGATTTGCCTGCTCTTTTCTGCTATGAGAAACTAAGAATTATTCCTTGGACAATAACTGATTATTTCTCTGGGCCCATCTCTCCTCTTGCTGGAGAACAAAACAAAACAAAAAGGTCTGGCTAAATGCTTAATTTACAGAATCTGTTCATGGTGCTCACCTCTGTTTTTAATTAGGCATCCCACTGGCATTCATGGCTTCAAGCAAGCATGAGCTTCAAGCACTAATCTAAGAGTTCTTCCTACCAGAAGGAAAGATAGGGAAGGAGTTTCCTATAGGAGTACTACCCACAGGGAAGGTGTCTTGCACAATCTCATGGCAACAAATCAGTTCGGTGCTAGAACACATTCTTGTGCTGCTCCCATTCATTTCAATAGGGTTTGAATAGGAGAACTTTTGGTAGGCTATCCTCAAGACTTTACAGTTTACCGTATAAAGTTTGCGTTCTGTCTTTAAAAAAAAGCTGTCTAGACTGTAAAAACTAGGACATAACCTGGAACATTTGCTGTTTCAAAACTACACGAACTGGCTCACAATATGAAGACTTATTGTTTCCAATGGTAGAATAATTCAGGTGGGTAGCCACCTTGCTCTGAAGTAATAGAACGAAGTCTGAGTCCAGTGTCACCTTTAAGACCAACAAAGTTGAACACTTCGTTGGTCTTAAAGGGGCCACTGGACTCAAACTTTGTTCCAATGGTAGAAAAAGTAAAACTCAAATTTCATAATTCCTGAGATTATGCTACAATAATGCTGATTAAGCAAATACACCCAAACAAACAAATGTACAAGAGTCTTCCAACCAAAACATTACAAAATCAAAAGATCGAAACAGGCAGATGTAGTCCAAGGATTATTTACACAGAAGCAGGTCCCATAGACTTCACTGGTACTTCTCCCTTCCAACCAAAACATTTCAAAATCAAAAGATCAAAACAGGCAGATGTAGTCCAAGGATTATGTACACAGAAACAGGTCCCATAGACTTCACTGGTACTTCTCATTGTGAAACTCTGCATAGGGTTTCTTGAACTTCCTGCGGCTGTACATGGAAGTACAGATTAAGTGGGAAATCACTGACTAGATCTTGTGATTTTTTTAAAAAAAAACCCAACAACCTGAAATATAGTTGGGGAAGCTGAATTTTTACTTGAAGAAGTGAGGGCCAGGGGTATCTGATGGTTCCCACCAGTCAGATATTTTTCAAGTAAACAGCTACTGTTTGCTCCATGGCATCTGCGTCTTCCCCCCACAGGGAAATTTTAGAATGGGGGGGAACTCATGGTATATGTTGTGGGACAGCCCTTTTGGTCTACTGTGGCAAGCAATATCCTATAGCCATAGACCTTCCATCATCATATCCATGCAAATAAGGTTTAGTATTGAGATGCAAACCAGTAATTGTACCGCTAATGCTGCTTTGGCTAAAAAGACAGTAAACATTTATTAGAGAGATCCAGGTGGGTAGCCGTGTTGGTCTGAAGCAGTAGAACAAATGTAGAGTCCGGTGGCACCTTTAAGACCAACAAAGCTTTATTCAAGGTATGAGCTTTCGTGTGCATGCTCACTTCTTCAAATACCTTGAATATACCTCTGTTGATCTTAAAGGTGCTACTGGACTCAAAATCTGTTCATTTATTAGAAAGATTTAACAAGGTGCTAGAAAGATGCACTGGTTCTCACATGTTTTACTTGGATATAGACCCCACAGCAACTGAACATTTATAATTTGCTATTATCTATTTTTTTCCTAAATCTTTCCTCCAGGAAAACAAGTGATTTCAGTATCCCTTTTGTTATTTTTGGCTTTCGTTGAAAATTTCGTAATGAATCACTTCCAAGACTAAGCAATCCTCTGCATATTTGTTTGGGAGCAAATACAATAAACATAGTGCGACTTTCTTTGGTGTAAACATACATAAGAGTAAGGCATGCATACAAACACCACATAATTCAAATACAGCCTAGACAGAACACAAAATTGTCTAAAAAAACTTTAGAGAAACCTTGAGTACTGTACAGTCCACAACCATTAATAGGTAACATGACTATGGATTTTAACGGGTTGTGAACTGTAATTTGCACATGAAACTTATGGGAATTTTGTTCATATCACCTATATTTTGAAAACCTCCAAAATAATTAATAAGACATCAGAGGCACATTAAAAACCATCTCCTGCAACTTTTCAGTTGTAGGATTCATTTGGTAATGTTTTCATTTTTATTTAGGTGCATATCTGGAAATACATTTGTGCACCTTCATTCTCTTTAACTTGTTTTATTTTTTAAAAAATCCCATGGAAGATCAGTGTGTGTGCGCGTGTGTGTCTGTGTACGCATGCCAGTGTAAACTCATACGCCTGTGAGAAACTGCATATTATTTTGGCTGCAACCCTAAGCACATTTTCCTAGAATCAAGGTCCATAGAAAGCAATGGCTCAAGTAAAATGCATGCAGGACTCTTCCAATGCTTTTAAATACCACTCACATCTTCATTCCCTATTTTAATAGCCTTCAGAATCTGCTGGGGGGGGGGGAGAGAGACCAATTACACCTCTGGCTGCAGCAGAAATATCAAGTAAGAGAAAAAAAGAAGCCCATTTGTTTTTCAGTTTAACACCGTACTATAGCAAACCAGTCAAAATCCAATCCTGTGCATATTCACTTGAAGTAAAAGTCCATGGTGTTGAAATGGGGCTTGATCCCAAGGGGTGGAATACACTCTCATGCATACATGAACACTCTGAAGTGTATAGACGGGGGATGCATAACCGCACCGCACTCCCAAGTACGCTTATCAGAGAGTAAACACCTCTGAACTCACACTGACTTTCTTCTGAGTAAACAAGGATAGGACCGTGCATAAGAAGTTTGTTTTTCAATGCACACTTGCACAGTGATCTCACCTGCTTTGCCAAAATTGTGGGCTACGAAATTGTACTGCAAAAGACAAACAGATTTGGGGATGGGGAGCTATTTAGGGCAAAACCCTTGCCACTTTTTAAAAAAATCCCCCCAGGTATATTATTCTCCCCCCCCCCCATCGCTCACTCTCACCGTCTTCTTGATGCAGCGGTAGCTTAAGAGGGTTTTCCAGCAGAGACTTCAGCACGCCGTAGGTTGGAGGTAGGAAAGTTGGGTTCAGAGGAAGAGGGGGAGCCATTTTCTCTCAATTTTTAAAAAAAATATTATTATTACTACAATTATTAAGAGGAGAGGGAAAATCCCAAAACAGTCTTTAGGGATTACCACCAATTAACAAACAAAAACAGGGGCTCCACGGTAAAATTACAGCCGCTTCAAGACGCTCCAGGAGAATCGGGACGTCCACTTGCACTCTTGGTGTCTTTTTTTCTTTTTCTTTCCAGCCCCGGCAGCAGGAGAGGAAATTTTTTAAAAAAATTAAAAAAAGAAGAAGAAGGGAGCCAGCCGGCCAGCCCAGCCAAGCCAAAGCCGAGCGGCGCTTTCGAGCTCCCTGGCTCTCCCTCTCGCTCCGCCCAGACCTCGGAGCTGGCTGGGGCTCTTGCGCGGCGCTCAGAGCATTTGCACATCCATGTGCTGACACTGACAAGAATGACGTCAAAGCCCCGCACACGCTCCTCAATAGGCAGCGAGGGGAGGAGCCCGCGGTCGGCTTGGCCGGCCCGCTCAGGTTTCGGTCGCCGCCTCACTCCCCACCCCCTTTTTTTGCCTCTTCGGTTGGCCATTCCCTGAGGAAGACCTCTGGGGAATGCGAAAGCTTGCGCGCTGCTTTGTAGCATTTTTTTTTTATTGGCCTTAATAAGAAAAGATCTTATGCGGCTGCTGGGGAAGGTTTGCCAGCCTGCAGGTGGCACCTGGAGATCTCCCTCTTTTACAACTGCTCTCCAGATGACCGAGAACAGTTCCCCTGGAGAAAATGGCTGCTTTGGAGGATTGACTCTGTGGCATTGTACCCTACTGAGGTGGCACACTGCCCTTCCCAGGATCCACCCCCAAATCTCCAGATATTTTCCAACTCAGAGCTGGCAACCCTAGCTGGGGGGGGGGTTGTTATTTCCCCCCACACACACACACAGACACCCCAGAATGGACCCAATGTCTGCCTATAATCAGAAATCGGAATAACTCGCAGATAACGATTGTTGTGGGGGAACTGTTGTAGCGCTGTGGCTAAAATTTGGCGACCCAAGACGGAATGCTAGAGCCGAGGCTCAGTTTCCAGATTTTTTTTAAAAAATTGTCAAGTTAGGGTTGGAAGCCATCAGATATTTTTCCTGTCCATGTGTTTTGTTTTTTCTTTTTGGCCTTTGGAACAGTATTTGTTGCGTAAAACGTGTGTTCTGTTCATGAAGGGGTTAGTACGCTTTTCTGTTGATCCCATAGCCGGACTCAGCAGAGTAATGTGCATGCAGCAAGAAGCATGATGGCAGTCCAGACTGGCTGTCCACGTGGCACGGAAGAATGCATATCTGCACTTTTAATGGCAGATGCAAATGTTCACAGGTACACTTGTTTCAGTCATGTACTGAGCACTTTCAACATTAGGTACCTTTGAATCGAACTCAGCATGCAACACAACCATACATGAAGTCTTATCTTAAATACTAGCAATGCAACGGTTTTGCAAGCAAGGAGCATGCATTGCACGGTGAGTGACTATGTAGCATCCACCAGGAAAGTCTGCCCCTTTCCACAACATTGTGTGTCTGAGAGTGTGCATGCAATAAACCAGCACAGCTAACCTCCTGCGCCATTATTTTCCTCTTTATCATACAAAATCCTTGAAAATCTCAAGGTAGTTTATTGAAAGACAAAAATGCTCTTTAATGTACCCTCAGAAAAACAATGACTGAAATGTTATTAAAGAGCCTTAGTCTGGCATACATAGATCATCATGGATTTATTTGGAGAGATTTCAGGGAGTAAGATAACAACGGACACAGTGAATTACAAGCCACGTACCCAGAAAGACCACTATATTAAATGGTTGCACAGATAGCCTCAGTGTGGAAGAAAAAGGCCAAATTGCTAGTTATTGGAGACTTCTAATTACATAAATACAGAGGGATTGACACTGATGAACGAAATAACTGGTGCTGTTGTATACAGAGATATGGCACATAATGTATTTCTATTTGATATGCACACAAACAAATACAGAAGGGAACCTTCGGGGCTTAGAATTAAGAGAGAGAGAAGGTAAACAAGAAATCTAAGCTCCAGGAGGAATGGAGAATCTGGGAAATGCTGACAAACAATAATAATCTGGGATTAGGATTAGAAAAAGGAAACCTTGAGAAGGAAGGGCAGGACAATTGGACTTTCTTAAGGATATTTTTGTCCAAATGCAAAACATGCTCAGCCATATTATTAGATGAAATGCAATCGGCTGCTGTGCAGGAAAGCCAAGCAGACCTGTCTCCTCACTCATCTGTGAAGCGAACGATGGTGCCAGCAGACCAGCAGAGTCTAGTCGCTGGAAGTCCCAGCCTGCCAAAGGCAGGTATCTATGAATAGCTCTAGTACACAGCACAGATGTACAGCCTGTGATGCCTCTGTCCCACCAGAAGTGCATCTGATTCATATATCCCACCACAGCAGAGATGACTGAATATTTGGACATCACAATGGAGGTGCAAAACTGTTTGTGCGTCAAGTGCACAAGGGGACAGAACTAATGAATGATTTACGTATCTGCTTTTCCCAAGCCACTCTCAGTTCTAACACATATAAGAGGGTTTTCAATATTAGGCAATGTATGTTGTGAAAGTTCAGCAGTTCGGGACCCGAGTTGCCGCACGACGGAGTGAGCTCCCGTCTCTAGTTCCAGCTCCTGCCAACCTAGCAGTTCGAAAGCAAGAAATTGCAAGTAGATAAATAGGGACCACTTCGGTGGGAAGGTAACAGCGTTCCGTGCGCCTTGGTGTTTAGTCATGCCGGCCACATGACCACGGAAACGTCTTCGGACAGCGCTGGCTCTTCGGCTTTGAAACGGAGATGAGCACCGCAACCCTAGAGTCGGACTCGACTGGCTTTCGAGCAAGGGAACCTTTACCTTTTACCCTTCTAAACCCATGGATTCTGAGGGACGAAGCAGCACGGAATGTTGCTTAGCATTGCACTCTAAACCATACAGTTGCTATAGATTTATCAAGGCTAAGACCAGGTGCTGTAGAGGAAACAGGACAAAATCCACCTGGGCATTAGTGCAATGGGACATCTCCATGCTGCAGCCAGGGGATGTCAGTACATTTGTTCCATGGTGAAGCCTGCTCATGACACAGAAGATCATGGCAAAGGAGTTTTTGAGCCGTCCCACTACATATCATTATTGGCTTTCTGGGTAAAAAATTAACCCGGTAAATGTTTATGTTGCTTCCATAACAGAAACTCAGCCCTTGTTCAAAGGTTATTGTTTGAGAAGTGCACTGAAGGAATCTAATAAAACATTTATCACGAGCAAAATACCCACCTGTGTAGGGGGGAATCTCTTTATCTGGCAAAAGTCCTTGTGTGCTGAGACCAGGCTTACCAACCTCCAGGTAGCCCCTGGAGATCTCCCTCTGTTACAGCTGATCTCCAGACAACAGAGATCAGTTCCCCTGGAGACAATGGCTGCTTTGGAGGGTGGGCTCTATGGCATTGTACCCTGCTGAGGTACCTCCCCTCCCCAAACCCCACCCTTCCCAGACTTCACCCCCCCAAATCTCCAAGTGTTTCCCAACCCAGAGATGGCAAATCCATCTGAGAGCTTCTCTGTGCATTCCTACTGGCACATATGTGTGGGTGCTACGTTGCTGCCCATGACGACAGATCACCCTCTGTTGCAGGTGGACATCAGGTCTGGATGTTACTTCATCAGTATTTCCTGGGTGCATCATTTCAGTTTTCCTCAGAGGAGTGAATGACACGAAAAAAAAGTAAAGGGGTACTCTCAGAGACATGACTGGGTGACACAAACCTTCGAAAATAAAGTTTGTCCTACCTTGCCAGCCACATCCTAAGTCTGAAGAATGGGACACAGTGTTGGGAAATTGGAGAGCCAGCATGGTGTAGTGGTTAAGAGTGATGATGGACTCTAATCTGGAGAACTGGGTTTGATTCCCCACTCCTCCACATGAAGCCTGCTGGGTGACCTTGGGCCAGTCACAGTTCTCAGAACCTCACAAGTTGCTTGTTGTGGGGAGGGGAAGGGAAGGTGATTTTCAGCTGTTTTGAGAAAGGAGCCGTGGTGGCTCAGAGGTTAAGACGCTGAGCTGCAGACTGGAAGGTCCGTAGTTCGGCAGTTCAAGACCCTAGTGCCGCGTGATGGAGTGAGCTCCTGTCTCTGGCCCCAGCTCCTGCCAACCTAGCCGTTTGAAAGCAAGAAATTGCAAGTAGATAAATAGGTACCGGCGCAGGGCTCTTTTTGTAGAAAAAGCCCAGCAGGAACTCATTAGCATAATAGGCCACACCCAACAGCAGGAACTCATTAGCATATTGGGCCACACACCTGACAGCACAGCTCATTAGCACATTATGCTGCACCCCCATGTTACCAGAAGTGTGGTCATCCAGCCACACCCACCTTTTGTTTGTTATCCTGTTTACCTTGTCTGTTGTCAAAACCCTGGGCTTTTTTTGTAGCAGGAACTCCTTTGCATGTTAGGCCACACACCCCTAATGTAGCCAATCCTAATGAGTTTCTGCTGTTGGATGTGGCCTATTATGCTAATGAGTTCCTGCTGGACGTGGCCAACTTGGGAGCCAGCCGGAACTCCGTTCCTGCGCGTTCCTGCCCAAAAATAGCCCTGGGTACCACTTCGGTGGGAAGGTAACAGCATTCTGTGCACCTCAGCGTTTAGTCATGCCAGCCACATGACCACAGAGAAGCCTTCGAACAGTGCTGCCTTGGATATGGAAATGAGCACCGCCCTCTAGAGTCGGATTCAACTAGCTTTCAAGCAAGGGAAACCTTTACCTTTAGGGTAGAGAAAAGTGGGGTATAAAAACTAGCTCTTTTTTTGTTGAGGGATGCATTGGGAGGATAAACATATCGCACTCCTGCCCAATAGAACAAGAATGCTGGGCTCGAGAGCAGAGCAGCTTCCTTTTCACTGGTCCTGAATCTCCACAATCTAGCACTGCAGCACAATTATCCTGTAAAGTCTCTTTACTTTGTGGGTGACCTAGATACGTGGTTTCATAATTGGCACAACCACACTATTATAGTTGTAATAATGAATTCTATAATGTACTTTGTTACGCTGCTCCTTCATTGCAAGCTCAGCATCAGCCCTTTTGATGCTTGCACCCCAAATGCCTGCATGAGAGTTGCCGTGCTTTCTCTTGGACACCCTGCTCACCACTAGTTGGCTTCCTCCTCTTTTTCAGGTAGT